CTGGGCTCGAACTCAAAACCCTTAGATTGAAAGGCAGGTGCGCTAACCATTCGGCCACGCATTCCGATAACAAACATAAGTTAATTGTTTAAGACTATAGAAGAAATGCAAGCGTATTTTTAGAATCGGTAGGGGAAGAAAGAAGTTCCGTAAAAGGAAATAGTTCCTGAACTTGCAAGCAGTATATAAAATAACAAGGGACGGGCTGCGTGAGAAAATGTAAACACTGTTCCCTAATGAAAATGTATTAATGGACTGTAGCCCGATTCATCGATACTGTGCGCATGCTGAATTTTTTGTAAATAGCTTCCTTGTAAGCTTAAAAGATCGGGTTCGGATTTTAACATTTCTGACTGAATATCCTGAAATAAATATGAAACATTTAAATAAGCATTTCTTTGGGTTTAATTAAATATGTGTAGCCCAAATTAAATTCCCATCATGCATTTTTAGAAGGGAAACACGACAATGAAAGCGAGAATTGTTTTTTTTATATACCGAAAATCGCTATTTCTGGAAACTGATTAATTCTAAATAAAAATCAAATAAATTCCAAATGTAAAAGAAAGAGAGAAGGCTTGATATTAAAATGTCGTATCATATCAGGAGAATTGAATGCTACTAACGACATCTGAGGAAATAGCCGATAAAAGGTTTAGATCATTTCTTCGTTCACCTGCACTTAAATTTCAAACACAACAGAACTTGTAGTTTTTGCCGTGAAACTTCAGGACTTCTATAAACTTATAAGACTCACCGTTAAACTCTCCAGAAAGTTTCTCTGAGGTCTATACTACATTTTAAACCGAATTTGGTGTCGATCCGAGGTCTGGTTTGAATTCTAGAGTAATATTCTACGTTGTTGTTGATGTGATTTTTTTTTTTTTTTTTTTTTTAAGAAGGGGGGGGGGGTGAATTATTTATTTTATGCCTCTTTTAAACTAAGAATTGTAACTACTTCCACATCCTTAAGCCTTATTGTGACCTTTGGGTCAAGGTCAAAGGTCAAGGTCAAAAGTCAAGGTCATTAAAAAAAAAAAACAAGAAATCTTTACTTTCTAAGTTTTCACCTGATACTGGAGCTGAATGCATGTCCTTACTTTTCCATTTGACCCAAAGTCAAGGTCAAAGGTCAAGGTCAAAGTTCAAGGTCATTTGGTGAATTGCTATATTTTACACATATATAAGGAATTTCTTATGTTTTTAAATGACCTTGACCTTTGACCTTGACCTATATTTCAAGGTCAAAGGTCAAATATTGCGATGCAGTTGGTCCCATGTCTCTAGGATACACCGTTTTAAAAAAAGGTTCATTAAATGTAAGTAGCATAAACTTTCAGGGGCAGTAACTCATACAAGGGACCAAAGAATGCTTTCGCAATGATAGAATGAAGAAGGTACTAAATGAGTCGAAGACACTGATGAAGGTTTGGAATCTCTACGGTTTACGGTTTCGGAGGAGTAGCGATAACAAAGTTTTGTTGCAAAAGGGGTGACAACTTTTGAATGGGTCAAGCTCGGGGAACAAGAATGAAATCTTTGAAATAGTTTAAGAAGGACATATTATAGATGCAAAGATATCCAGTATATGTTGAAAGACAAAAGAGATATTAAAAAAGCTAATTTTCTCATATTTTGAATGACCTTGACCTTTGACCTCTATATAAATTTCAAGGTCAAAGGTTGAGATATCCAATGCCATTGGTCCCATGTCTTTACGATTAATCGTTTAGAAAAAAATTAATTATTCGTAACCATCAAAAACTTTCAGGGGCAATAACTAATTAAAGGGGTTTATGCAACCTTTCGCACTGAATAGATTGAAGAGTCTACTAAATTAGTCAAAGACATTAGTGAAGGTTTCGTATCTCTATGGTTTAGGGTTTTGAAGGAGTAGCGATAACAAGCTTTTATTGCGAAAGGGGTTGTAACTCCTTGAGGGGTCAAAGTTCATATATGCAGGGTCAACTGTAAAAATCTTTTACGAAGTGCATTCTTATGGACCATAAATCTTTTTGATAACTTTTAAAACAAAAAACCATTCGGCGGAAAAATAATAAAAATAATAATAATAATAATAATAATAAACAGAACAATTTCAATAGGTCTTTCCACAGAAAGGTGGAAAGACCTAATAAACACCTTAAGGTGTAAATTTCGGAGGATTTTCACAAATGAAGACAGATGTGAATTAAAATATTTCCCCACGTCTACAAACCTACACTAAGGAAACTAAGTATTTTGTTGACAAGAAATTTATTTTCAATAAATTTCTTCCGAAAATTTAAAATATAAGCCGTTCCAACCGTCTCCCATGGAAAATGATTAACGATTATCAATTGAATATGATTATTTTAAAAAGTAATATTGAATCATTTTACTACCATAGTGAATCATTCTACTACTATAGTGAATCATTATACTACCATAGTGAATCATTCTACTACCATAGTGAATCATTATACTACCATAGTGAATCATTATACTATCATAGTGAATCATTATACTATCATAGTGAATCATTATACTACCATAGTGAATCATTATACTACCATAGTGAATCATTATACTAATAAAGTGAATCATTATACTATCAGAGTGAATCGTTATATTACAATCTGACTGTTAAGGATTTTCTTGATTCACAGCTGGTTTTTCGTAATAGTTTTGCTTTATATTTTGAAAGTGGAACGGATAAATAAGAAGTTTAGATAATTACTTTTAAGTATACAGATACAAGCCAACTCGATGAAAACAATCCGCTATTAACACAAACCCTGTTTACTTGAAATAAAATGAATTATTACTGCTGCAGATTTTGCAGCAAAATTTAGAAAGAATTCATGCCCGTGGTGTATAGGCATAAAGGACCCTTTTGTTCAGTAATTGTGCGGGTTGTTTTTTTTTTTCAACTATAAATTTTATACTACATTTGCTTTTCTTGTACAGAATATCATTTTACACATACTACAGTTCAAAAAATAACAATTTAAAGAATCAACACTTTTAATAGACGATTTACTTTCCCCAATTTATAAACCTAACTGCTCGCATAGTTAACGATCTCCATGTATGACGTCCAGCTCTAGACGTTTTTGTTTGTCGTGATTTGTGTTGGTCCTCCTCTTCCATCAGATAATAAGTTCAGCCATCTTTGAATCTCTTTCATTAATAAAATCTAGTGCTCGATACATGTATTTGTATTGCCTAATCTTTCCTACATCTTTTTCAGTATAAGCAGTAGTCATACCCCAATCAACATAGCATTCTGACCGATTTTGGCAATAAAGACCTGGCAAAGAGTTCAAAACTGTCTTCTGAGTCCTTTAACAATTCCAATTGCAAATTGTCTAAAACTAATTAAACACCTTTCCTTCATAATTAGTATACTAAAGGAAACTCAGTATGTCTGGAGTTGCTACAGGTTTCACAGTATGAAAATTATCACGACAACAAGTAAGCCTTTTCAATTTAACTGCGGAGCTGATTCCACAAATGTGCAGAAAGCTTCTCATATGCATGCGTTTTATCAAAATTTTGATTTTAGGAGATGTGCGCCGGGTGTACCATTTACCTATACAACCCCTGACTTTCCAGATTCCTTCCTGACATATGTTTGAAATAGGCCTGCACGAAATTCATGTTATACAGAATGTAATTCAATGATATGTTTTCATTTTTAGATGAGTTGAAGGCGTATGATGATATCTAGTAAACTAGTAACTAAGTAAAATATAAAATAAAACATGAAAGTAAAATTAACAAAATGATTCTAATCTTTTCAGAATGTTGAAGTATATGCAAGTTATAATGCAAATGATAAAAAAAAATATGCCATTGTGTTGGATAATATTGACATAATGAAGAACATAAGTACTGTTCTATCCCAAATGCATTTTGATGTTCATCACCCCAATAATTCTCAAACTTATGCAGAATTACATATTTACATTTTCTGTAGAATGGTTATCGGCAAGATTAAAAGTGAAGGCTTTATCGAAGTAAGGAAACACATGTGCATTTATTCATTAATTTCGTAGCTACATTTAATGACCTTTACAGCTTTATCAAATAAGTGCCGCTTCCTGGTCCACAAGTCTTTATTTATGATAGAAACTTTACAGAAACTTATAAATTTAATTGTATATATTGCTCTGTAATTGTTGTTTAACACATCATTTTCTAACATCCGTAATAATATTTAACACTCGTAGCTTCTTGAATTCTGTGGAATACTTCCTGTCTAAGCGACTCTTGATAAGACTGTAAAGCCCCATGTAAGTCTCCGACAATATACTGACAGATTTCAAGCACTAGTATCTGCCAAGATAGGCCCTAATGATAAAGGGTACATATCTCCCATCTTATAGAATATCAGTGTCTGTAGGTGTGTCAGTGACTCTATACAGATCTATTACCTAGTATATAGTGAAAAGTCACAGACAACATTTCTGTCATAAGAAACGGTGAAAAATGCACGAGTAACTTTCCATTTTGCTCAATTACATTTTGTTCTAAATTTAATTCTTCAATACATGAAATAGTTCTGTATAAACAAACATTGTATGCCCAAATTAGATTCATCCTCCTATACAGCGATAAATTACTTACAGTTTCATTATACCTCTGCCTGACAACAGTTTTGTTATACATATTAAAGGTTTGTACTAGTTTATGTTTATTGAGATAAGTGATGGGTATTGTTTTAAAATATCTCCCTGTTCTATAGTAATTCATTGCTAGAAAAATTAAGGAAAACACGGGACCAAAACTTCCTGCTAGTTTCAGCATTTTAAAAATCATTCTATCTATGATGTACACATTTTTGTTTGAACCTCTGCTTGCCATTGTGAGAGGTATGCAAATGAGAGACTCTGCAGTACAATATAAAAATCAACATTTGGTATGGTGATTTTTGACAATCGTGATAGTTTATCAATTAAACTCAAATAGAGATAACAATCCAAATGTTGTTCAGAAAGAAAATATGTCTGCAATACTTCATAACTGCCACACAAATCTATATCTGCAGTAGCTATAAATTCTCCCTCAACAGAGGATAACACAAAAGACGTGTCACCTAGGGCTGCTTCTAGGATTGATCTGAGAGTCGGACTTAGCTGTAGACAGGACACACCCATTCTGTAATACTGATAAAGCTGTTGTAAAAGAGACACATGAAGATATAATGAGTAAGGGTACCTCCTCCATTTTTTTTAATTTCTTGGCCTCTGGGCATTTGTTTTAGGTCTTCGGACTCTATTTCTTTATACAAAAAATGTAAGAATTCTCTGAATATCTTCTTCTCTTCTTCTGGATACTTAGTAGATAAATTAAGTATATGGTTATAATGAGGAAGGGTGACTCTTTTAAAATTGTGATAAACTTACTGAATAATCGTAGTGAGCAAGGGTTCCTCCTCCTAAATTTTGCAATTTGTTGCCTAAGAGCCAGAGGTCAAGTAGACCACTAGGCCAAGTAGACCACTGGGCAAGGCTCTATTAATTTATATTCTATTAGTTATTCCCCTTTATTATTTACCTGTGATAATTAATCATTGTGAATAATGTAATTTGAAAGGTCAATTTTAATAAGAGATTTATACAAGGAAGTTTTTAAATAAATACATAATATAAAAAGTACTTTCATTATTCTTAATGGTCAGATAGACTTTTTAATTATAGATTAATTAAATTGAGAATAAAACTGCCTTATATTTTTTTTCATTAAATGTTCTTCATAGACCAAAAGAGGCCAAAGTAAGAGGGAATGAGATGGGTTTACCAATAGTGCTCAAGCACTTTTGATTTCTTTAGTTTACAAATTAAAAGTGATAAATTGGGGCAGATACAGATAAGTAAATAGATCTAGTTTAAGATTTATTACAGAGTACTATACTAATTTTTTTATTGATCCCTAATCATAATATTTGTTTTGCTTTTGAGCAATATAACTTCATCCATCAGTTTGTTGTACTTCATACTTCAAAGGATTGTACTCAGGAGACCGTTTAGGCCCTGTGGCCTCTTGTTTTTTACTATCAAAAATCAAAACCCTATTTAATGAGAGTGAATACCTCTTGACTTCATTCGTAAAATAGTTTTATACATTTATTGCAAGTTAGCTAGCATATGTACGTGTGATCACGCATTTCGTATGTAAACTTATTTTAAAAACATAGGTCATCAGAGATTACAGAGCTCACCTCAACGAATGTTGTCTTTAAGTAAGGCAAAGTCCCACACTAATCTAATAATCTAGAAGTGTGCATCCCTAGATGCATCATACATGCAAATTTGGTTCAGTTAGGTCTTGGATAGGACCTGCTCTAAACAAATTATTCTGGTCATACATTAAGAAAATGAAGGTCAGATCCAGCATCTGAAGCATCATCCATGCAAGATTGGTCCAGGTAGGTCTAATAGTTGCTTGGGAATGGACCTGTTTCAAAAACTTTAACTTGGTCACTTTTCTGGAAGAGGTAGGTCAGATCCAGCATCCAGAGCAAGTCAGGTAGTGTACATCCTTAGATGTATCATCCATTCAAGATTGATCAATATAAGCTGTATAGTTATTTTGAAATGAGACTTGCTCCAAGAACTTTAACCTGCTCCAATAATCTTAACCTACTCCAAAAACTTTAACTTGGCAATTCTTAAGCTGACATTGCAGCATCTGAAACCTTGACTGGTACAATGAAACATACTAGAAGCATCTTCAATGCATCTCTGATTAATGTAGGGCATAGAAGTACTTGAAAAGAAATCTGCTCCAAAAACTTTAACTTGGGACGCTGACACCATCGCCAAGTTGAGGTGAGCTAAAAATGATGATTCGTTTTAAAATAAGTCACACACTTTATACCACTTTTATATGGTGTGCTAAAAGGTACATTCACTCCCTTACGTCATTGCATTAAAAGAAACACAACGATTACCCTTACTAATCTCTCTCTCTCAACGAAATGAGTTCTTAGACTGTCACACTTCAAAGGAAAGCAGAGTGTTAATTGTTTTTATAGCAGTTTATCTTTATTAAATATTGAATAAACTGTTATTTTTCTAATTGATAGTAAGAACTCTGTAAGATTACATTGGTTCATAGAGAATAGCCAGAACCCTCACACCCAGTTTCAGAGATGCAGATTAAACTGTGAACGAGGACCATTTAATTTTGGTGTATGTGACCTAGTGTTGAATTAACGTAGTTCTCCACAGAATAGCATGCATGTATTAAGATCATTGCGTGCTTAAGGAGTTTAGATAAAAATATTATCATCCAATAACTGCCATTACAGTGCATTCCTTTCCATTAACTTCTCAATTGATAAAATTGTGAGTCATCAATAAAGTATTTGCATTTCACAGTATCAAAATATTTAATTATTTAAGTAAATATATGTGAATTATTGATAATCTTTTTTAAAAATCACATTTTAAGAAAATTCAGTTGATGGCTGCAAATCTAAAGTTATTTGTAATAATTACATAGAGAGAAAAATCGTTGAATAATCGTATTCTAACATGGATTACATGGAACTACCTATTCACCATGGAAGTAACTATGAACAAATGTTAAAAATCAAACAACCTTGTCACAGGCAATTGGGGTATGGCGACTCCACCCCCGATTTAATAAGAAAAAAAATGGAAAAGGAGGGTGGGGGGTCCATACCCCAGGTGCCTGTGAACCTTGTAACAATTTATGAACCTACATTGTTCCGCTGTGTGATCAAAAACCTATAAAAGTTTTAGCAGACGTATCAAAGATGTCACGGAAAGATAAATTTTAGTTCAGAGAGTTTTATCACCTTCTAATTATGTGTTGAAAGCAATGGCGGTCATTATTTATGTAACAGTCAAATTTGATTAAAACATGGAATAAACTGTCACTGTTTTAGAAAACACACTAATTGACCAATACCTGTGACCCAATTTGAAAGAATTTGCGGAAGTTTGATGCAGCCACTGTGTGCCACATATTCAGTTTATCAGAATCTATCAAGATTTATTCATACAAGAGCATGCAGGTAGTGTTTTGTGATTAGAACAGACGCATTTATTCACATCAGCATGTTATTAAAGTACAATAATTATGGGTAATCATTTTTTTAGGAAAAAGAGTTGCTTGAAGAATTGGACCAGAAGATTAACATGTCTAAAGAAATTAAATAAGTATAAATTCAATCCTGAGATTTAATTAATAAATAATGTGATCTTCACATGACTTGTTCAATTGCAAACAATCAACATTTTAAAGGAATATTTATTATTTTCTTAACTTCTAGACCATAATATCAAATATTTCAAATATGAAAGATCAGGCCGCTAAGTGACCTCTAAAATTTAAGCGCCATCTAGCTCCTAATCAAAACAATTTAGTCGCCAATGCAAATTTTAAGTCACCAGCAAATTTTTCTAAGGCGCCAATTCGAAAACCGACATTAGTCAACATACCCTTACATAATTTAAGACTTCTTTTCTCCTCTTTAGAAAAAAAAATATGGAAAAATATTTATAGTTCCGGAATTGACGATCCCCAAATCAATTTGAAATGGTCGCCAATTTGCCGACTTATAGAAAAAAAAATTAGGCGCGAATCAAAATGTTTAAGCGCCATGGCGACTAAATCAGTCGCCAATTAGAGCCCTGCTGATACAATCTCTTTTATATGTATATATTTATTTGTCTGTTTTTGAGCAGATTTTAAGGCGATTCAACAAGATTGCGTGCGTAGATTTAGCCACAGGAGTCATGTTGAACACTGCACTAGATAGTACTTGATAGCAAAAATCAAGCTAAAAAAAATCAGACTCCAAAGTTTGACTCCAACTACACTCCATAACTCTAATCCATGAATTACACGGTGTCCTGAATTAATATACTTTGCTTACATGTTTAAATTTCTGTGTTCATGTAAATGTTGTTTAACACTTCGTATTCTAATATTTGTAGCTTCCTGTATTCCGTGAAATGGCTCCTGTCTAAGCGATTCTTCATAAGACTGTAAAGCCCCGTAAAAGTCTCCCACCATATGCTGACAGATTCCTAGTATCTGCCAGGATATGTCTCTGAATTTTAAGGGAACATATGTCCCATCATCATAGAGCAGCAGTTTCTGTAGGTCTTTCAGTGACTGTAAACACTGATATTTATTACCTAGTCTATAGTGAGATACATGTAATACTGACAACATCTCTACTGTAACTAAAGGTGATAAATATAAATATGACTCTCCGTTGTGTTGGCTTGCTTTTTGTTCTAAACATAATTCTGTAATACATGGGATATTTTCAAATAAAAGCACATTACTTATCCAGGCTATCTTCATCCTTCTTGTTATTGATAAATGACGTAAAGTTTCATTGTATCTATGCCTGTCAGTGGTATCTCTATACATATTGACGGACTGTGACATTCTTTGTTTAGTGAGAACAGTGATATGGAATGTCTTATCATATTTCCCTGTTCTGTAGTAATACAATGCAAGATAAAGTAAACAAGACACAGGCCCTAACCTTGATGCAAGTTTCAATATGTTACAAACCATTCTATCTAAAATGTAAACACGTTTATGTATGAAACATGAAGTATTGTTTGCAATTGTGAAAGCTGATCTAACGAGAATGTCAGCGGCCCAATAATGTAATGTCAATGATTGGATTGGCGAGAGTGATAACTGTGATAACGTATCAACTGATTTCAAGAAGAGATAGGAATGCGATATATGTTCAATATGAAATGTTATTATAGATAGTTCAAACTTGCAACACATATCTGTCGTTGAAATATCTATCATTTCTCCCACATCAGAAGATAATACAACGAACGGGCTACTGAGAGCTAGTTCTAGAATTGGCCTGAGCGTCGGACTAAGCAGAAGACAGGACACACCCATCCTGTAATACTGATAAAGCTGTTGTAAAAGAGATTCGCGTGCATCACCGACTACTTTGTTTTTGAACATATTGTTCTGTGGAACAAAAAAATTAGGAAACACTCCACGATAAACACAGTGAATAAGATATTTAAAACACTTCCAGAAGCAATTCAATAAATTGTTCGGGCACCATCTTAAATGTCCAAGTTGTATCATCCAGAACATCGTGGTCTTCATGTAATATGAACACAGTAATGGTTCCTCCCTGTGATTGATAACTTCCTTTGAAAATATTTTCAGAAGTCCATAACATAAAAATTGTGTATGATTCATGTTATACACTAGTTGTTGTTCGGCTTGAGAAAACGATAATCTCCATTCTAATTCGTTAGAAGTCGATACAATTTTACTTCCAATCGGCACGCAGTGACATCCATTTCTTAGAATTTTTTCCATCACAGGTGCAGACGGCCAAATATATCTCAGACATCTGTCAATCCAAACATTGAATGTCTTTGGCCAAAATAAAGTGGAAAAACATATAGCATGATCGAATTTTATAGGTCCATAGAAACCGCTCGTGCAAGGACCATGAATGGTGAAATTCTGTGTTTGGTTACGTTTGACCTTCGAAAAGATCTGAAAATGTCTTTCTGTCCACAAAGAACTAGATATATAATATCTGCCATTAAAGGAAGCAAGACACGAAATCACGAAATCGTTTCGTGTGGATGTCAGAAGCTCTAGTCTGACAAATCCTGGTGGTGTGTCTGAATCTTCAATTAATATGATATTATGTTTTGATGAACTGTAAACTTCAGCTTGAGAGATGTCAGTTATTAATTTATATTTACACCACCAGAGCATTGTATCCATGTCAGATGAACTAAATCTAAATCCCTCTCTATAACTACCACTATTTATTAAAACACATCCTCTTTTATTATAAAAAGATTTCATTATCATCTCCTCCATGTCCTTGATGTCCCTCCTGATGGCCACTTCTGTCGGTGTCCCTATCTGACGACACAGACCACCATACAGGACCTCTGCTATACGGAGAATATCATCCATTCTGTATATAAAGATTGGTTTATAGATTACATTCAACCCTCATAAAGACAAATAATGTATAAGTAAAGTGTTTGAGGTAACGTGTTTGGATATGCAACATTTTAGCAAGTTTATTTGAGAGCAGATTTATTCAAACAAAAAAGTGCTATATAGTTTTGATTAGGGTTAATTTGTACAATTAAGTCCCACCTCTGGAGTTTTTAGATGTCAGTGTTTATACCCTCTTCACATATTGTATTGTTAAAAAATTATTTTGAAATTTATCAATGATTGTTATCTTTACCCTTTTCATTTTAAGCATTTCTGTACGCACAGGATAAATAACCTTAGGTTGTTTCTAAGTACTATTTTACCTAATTGATGTCTCTCTGCAAATGGCGGCCTCTACGTTATGAGTTGAAAGGAAATACCTGGCACATCTTCTTCTGTTATCTGTTTAGGTTTATTCACATATGTGAGATCCAAGTAATTTGTACACTATTGTTCATTACTAATATTAGATATTTTATAGATAAAAGAAAAGAGAAAGAACAAAAAATATCTACACTCTCGATCACTTCTCGATCATGTATTTACAATACATGTAAAATCTTCAAGTGTACAAAATTGGCGCTGATCCAGAAACTTAGATTATTTTTAGATTTTTCTGCAAAGAATAGTAACAGTCTTTTGTTTGAGAATTAAGCTTTTCCCATGCTTGTGAGGGCAAATAACAAAAATGTTTTATAGTATAATACGATTTTGACGATGGCTTAATTACATTGTAAATTTGAAATTTACTGGGGGGGGGGGGGTTAATGCAAAATATACAACGTGAAAGTACCTGTTTGATACAGAGGACTGAGATTGGGTAATAAAAAAGGATGGTTTATTTCTCCTAATTACATAATCCAACCTCTAGTGTTTAGGGGTTCGTGTTTTATACCCTCTCCTCCTTTTTTAATTGTCTATTGGATTTATAAGATCATTCTTCATTGTCTTCACCTTTTCCATTATCTGGGTGAATTCAAAAATAATGACCACCAAACTGAATTTTTTTGGTAAAATTCAACTACTTATAACATATTTTTCACTTGTATCATCATATTGCAAATGCATTCTAGTTTAAAATCCTGAAGTGGCAATAGAATAGACAATTGGATTAAAAAGTTTCAGAATTTTTATTAGTAAAATTTCTTTTGAAAAAAGAAAATATCATTACACCTTAAAAGACTTTCTAAAATACATAATCACAAGAAATTATAGTTTTTTATGCTTCAAAATGGTAAAAGGGGTATAAATGATTAAATCTAGACCTTGAATGAGTATCTTCTCTTGTATATGTGACAAAAAATTGGCTTTTTGATTGTTATTTTACATTATTTTTTCAATTCTGGTTTGAAAAGTTTTAATATGAAAAAAATATGAAGCAATAAAATTCCCCAAAGTTCACTTTTTTGTCCGTTCAAGTCAATTCTTTAAATCTAAGCCAAAAAAGAATTGTTATATACGACTTTTCTTACAAAAAATACTAGATTTTAAAGTCACCCTATGTTACATTATTGTGTTGCACTCCTGACATCTGATATGTACTTTATTTTTAACATTGCTTTAAAAATTATAACACACAATAACCCATTCTTACTTTGTAAATCAATTTGTCGTGTTGATATTTTTCATCGTTTACAGCAGGTTTTTCGTATTTTGAAGACCTTAAAACATGATTATTTGCAAAGTGTAATATATATAAATTGTATTTAAAATATATGTGAAATGATGAAAACTATTCCCTGAATTGACTGTAAAATTTCTGTAATTTGTTGATAGACATAGTCTTTTGAACATCAAATAGTATCAAGCATTTTTTTTCAACTTAATTTTCAGTAAAGGTAGTTAAAAAGCATCGGTAATTATGAAGCAGTTTTGTTGCACTCCTGACTGCAGTAAAGTTTAAAATTAAAACCATAGAACACAAAAATTCATAAAGTGTTGGCAACATCAAGTGGTAATGAAATTGTACAATACTTATAGTCCAATACTTCATAATTAAAACAGATGAAAGTATTTAAAATTCGCATTTTATCTGGAATTATACCATATTTTATGCCAAAAAACTAGCTTAAATGTATATTTAGAAGATAAAATATATTTTAAAGCATATTTTCCTTTAGAAGACAAACACAGTAACCCACCAGAAAAATTCTACTCATCATTTTTTCTTTATTTTTATTCTTATTGGATGATTTATAATTCTAACATATTTGTTGCACTCCTGACCAAAAACATTGGGGCCTTTAAAGTAGAATTGTGAAGTGAAAATTACATAAGAACTTGTTCTGTTGCTTCAGTGAAGTTGAGGAGGAATTACTTGAATTTTATGACAATGTTTTAGTGTGTTTATTTTTAACGTTCATTAAAAAACTCACAAAAAGATAAAACACATCTGAATTGATAAAACTTAAAAAGGAAGGATTTTGATAATAAAACTGTCAATAATATAGCATTAAATTATACAAAAAGATCATTATTAATTAATGAATACTTCTAAGCATGAATAGAAGTCCTTTCGTCACAGAACTTGAATCTTTAAAAAAAATGTGTTGCACTCCTGACCATAGAAATATGGATCTGAAGCACAGACAGATCTTGTAATTGATAAATCTATTTGGTAAAAATGTTCTTGGTGTCTTTATTTTCCAAAATAAAAATCAGAAAATCATATAATGATAATAGTTTTTTCATGCTTGGAAGCAAAACATCAAATGTTGCACTCCTGACATTTTTGGGTATGCACATATACTTGACTCTCATTAATGCTGCTTGTGATTTATATAACATTTTTAAGTTTTAAAATGTATATCAGTTATTATTTTACACTTCCAAAATTCTTTTTTGTCTTAATTTTCTATCAGAATTTTACAATTGATGTTTTTTTTGGCAACACTACATTTTTTCTGTTGCACTCCTGACATGGTATAACATTGTTTTAAACATCAGCCATGACCACAACTTGATTAAACAAAAGTTTCAACAGTCCACATTTAAAGCTCAATACTTTGAATATTATCAGGAAAGTCTCTATTTTCAAAATGAAGCATTATTTTTTATTTCACAGATCTCCAAAAAATATTGAAAGAGCCATAGCGCATTTGATAGGCATTTTCGCCTACTCTACTAGTGATTTCTTAAATACATTTTTTAACCAAAATTTTGTCATACAGTCTTAGTTTATACATGCGTAAAACCAAATCACACAATAATGATATTTAAATGTTAATAGTTCCCTCATATGATAAATTTGAAAATTATCCAGTTTGTATAGAATATATGGTAAATATTAAGGTATCCACCTAACGATGACAAACTGTTGCCAAAGGCCACCCTTAACCAGAAAAACAACTTTTGAATAATTTTATTTGAATATCTCTTCACTTCATTCCCTTTAGATAATTTTGGTTAAAGGTGGTCTTCATATTGAAAATGATGAAAATATATATTAAATTTTTCTTCTCATATAATCGTAAGATTTAGCAATCTGTCTTAAATTTATCAACTTGACATCATTGATTTCGTTGGCGCAGCGGTATGATTGCTGGAATGTAAATATGGTGATTGCGAGTTCGAGCCCCACATATTTCCATTTATTTTTTTTTTTTTTTAATTTTTTTTTCTTTGTGTATCATTTCTAGTTTTTCTTTATTATGTTTTATAACATACACAATTTCAGAAAGATATAATATACACATTACACTTTGAAAGTATCTCGGGAAAAGACAGTCCTTAACTATTTTATTAAAGTTTGCAAATTCATAGCAACTTGTTTTATTTTTATTGATTTTCTGCGTAAATCTTTTGTCTCAGAATTAGAGTATTGAACAAGTAAAATGATTGTCATTTGACATACTTGCAACACTCGTCCTCAAATCATATTAATAGTTTGCTCATGAATTGAAAAGGTACATCTATAAAGGTATATCTATAAATAGAAACAGGTGATTTCCTTTTAAATTCTTGAGTCGGCCGTGTTGTCGGTAAGGCAGCTATGGCTCTTTCAAAATGTCACAAAAAGGTGTTGCACTCCTGACAATTTTAGCATCATTTTTGGGCATAACTTTTTTGTTAATTGAGATATCAACGAGATATTTGGCAGGTATTTAGACACTATCTAAAGACATATGCTGAGACATAGAAATCTATTTTCATTGCCTGTATTTTTAGTGTGGGTTGATAAATATGCGTTTGGTCATTTTTTTTTTAATTCACCCATCTCCGCTTTGTGTGAATATCTCAACCAAAGATTTATTATTTTACATGGGAATCTCTAGAAAATCAACCCATTTGAAAGAAATTTCATTTGGTTTGCCTTTCACTAAAATTTCAAAATCTTTACAACGGATTGTCGCATATGCGTTATACTAGTATGTGTGATGAAAATGAACATAAAGACGACAGTACTGCATAATATCAATTTCGCTTGCATACATTTTTATTTATGGAATAAGTGATTTGATCGAAAGTCGATTTTGTTTCCGTTAAATTACATCATATTTCATCTCGAGGAAAATATTTATGAACTCTTGTACCGATCTTTTCATGTACTTAAGAACTATTTTTTAAAAAAAATCAAGCTCTGCATATCAATTTCTTTCTTCTGGGTATTTATTTTTTCATTTAATAACCTGTATTTATCGACAGTGTATTTATTGCCCCCCGCTTTCACTGAAAGTGTGGGATATTAATTTGGGTCTGTCTGTCCGTCCGTCTGTATTCATGTCTGTCTGTAACACTTTCGTTTCCGCGCGATATGTTGAGAGCCCTTTGAGCTTTCGCAATGAAATTTTGCATGGCAACTCCCTATGGCCTAAGGAAGACCTCAGAAGGTCAAAGTTCAAGGTCGTAAATTCATACATTCCGTCTGTGTGTAAGCTTTCGTTTCCGGGCGATATCTCAAGAAGCTTTTGAGCTTTTGCAATGAAATTTTATACCATAATTCCCTTGGGACTGTCTCGCCCCTCTAAAAG